TCCAACGGTTTACTCACTGGCCCCATCTCTAGTTTTCATTGCTAGAAAACAGCTTCCGGCTTCCGGTGTCAGCCTCTTCCAGAAATCAGCTTCCGGCTCCAACGGTTTTCATTGCTAGAAAATGGCTTCCGGCATCCAATAGTTTTCATTGCCAGGAAACGGCTTCCAGCGTCTACCTCTTCTATATCTGGCATCGTTCTTCCACTGCCATTGCCGCCACCACCACCACGAGCATTGTTGAGGTACTAGGTCCCGATTAGACAGGCAGAGAATACTGTTCAGAGTGTGACGAAGCAGGAGATTGCCAAATTTTGGAGGTAGAAGTGCATGGAGGAGGAGGATCACCTCCTTGCTGCTATCAAGGCCGTAGCTCGTATCAAAGCTTGTAATCTCACCGTGGGATCAAATTAACCGCTAACTTTCATTTCTTCTCCCTTAAACAAATTGGTCTTGGTAACCAAACACAGATGACAAAGTTGAGAAAAAAATTTCCCTTCTCATCCCATCCCGCCTCATTTCATCCTTTTCTCAACAACCAAATGGACCATAACAGAACTTCAATGGAGGCGTATTTGTCGCAAAGTGAAAGTTTAAGGCTGTGTGTTGCAAATGAAAGCTCTGGGGTGTAATTGTCATTTACCCATAGTACAAGGGGTATTTGTAAAAATGAAACTTTTTGTTGCATACCTCCCGGATCATGTGCGTGAAATTTGGAGAGAGAATATAATCTTATATTTAAGGTTGTGTTTGGAACCATTGCCACTTCTACCTGCAACATTTTGTATTGTTCAATACAAATTTGATATTTCCTGAATAAACATCAATAGTACCCAATGTTGTATTGATAACTTAAAGCATTTATGGCAGAAAAAAAAATATATTCTCATAAAATTTGTATAACCTAAAATATTACAAATAGAAGTGGCAATAATACCAAACACAACATAAATTAAAAGATTGTCCAACTGAATGAACAGGAACATGGATATGGTGGGAAGGTTCTACTTTTAAGAGACTAAGTACAGAAAACATGGACGCTAATAAATTTTTTAAAATTGTTGGTGGTATACACGATTCCTTCTCCATCCTTTGAAAATTAGGGATTTGAATAGGAACATCGATATGGTGGGGAAGGTTCAACTTCTAAGAGACTAAGTACAGAACACATGGACGCCACATGCACAAATAGTAGTGTTGCTGTTGTGTTGCTGACCCTCAAAGGGGATGGTTGAAATCCTAGAATCTAAGCTAACGTACCTCATTTTGGCATTAGCGAGGGCAACGGTGACTGATCAGTCATGGAGGTTGTAAGGATGACTAACCCCTCTCAAGTAGCTCTAATCAATGCTTTTGGGCTTTGACTGATCGCTCGCTGCTCAGCGAACCAATGAAACCTCTTGGACTGCTCGATCGAGGCAGTTAACCAAATGCACGCAGCAGGATAAGAAATAACGAGGCCAATATGGATCGATCATTTTGTTCTTTTCCAAAGTGCAAATTATTTAGACCGGTCAACAAAAGATGGCCACTGTTACTGTCTGCCTTTTGGATCAAAAGTTTCCGTACTGTATCCTCTTTGGTTTCTAAATAGGTTGTTCGTGTGTTAGGTTGAAGACAGACAAACGTATCAGCTCAGTTAGTTTGGGGAGATGCACATCTGCCGGTTCAAATGTTAAGTCTTGAAAACATGGTTTTTAAACCGTTGTTGATCCAATGGTCGTACTGTTTGGTCTGGAAATCATTTGACTCAAACAATAGTTTTTGATTTTTTTATTTTAATTATTTTTTTTTAAATTGGAATGAATCATCTGTTCGAATTGAATGATCAATCCTTGAATAGGTATTATTCTCCAATATGCCCCCTCACACGAAAGCCCATTGGGCTTGAAGCATGAACAGCACAGATCCACCCATACCTTATGCTAAAACTTAATTAATTATAATGGAGGTGACAAGAATCGAATATTAGCCCATTTGGTCAAAGTGACACTGATACCATCTCAAAAAAACATTCAACCTAAAAGCTGAAACTGTTAAGTGAAGCCTTTGAATAGGTTTTATTCTAATAAGCTCAGTTTGGTCTGGTGAGATGCACATCTGCAACCTCAAATGGTAAGTTCCAAAGATGTTCCAAGGCTGCAAAAGTATCTGTTTATTCGAGATCCTGTTAGGGGTGATTAAAATTTGATATGTTAGTAACGCTATGAAAATAGGGATAAAATCGATTAAACAATGCTTACTATAAATCAGGTGAAAAACACCTAAGAAATTACTAATTAGAGTCCACATCTGCTCCTCACAAAGGGTTCGTCTCAACGCCCTCACAGCATGTTTCAGCTGCACTCCCATACTTGTATGTTATTATTCATAGGAGATATTCCCAATAAAAGGTGAGAGGTGGGTGAGAGGAGCAGATCCCAATTCACGAAATCATATAAACTTCTCTACAAATAATTGAACTGAACACGGATTCACCTCTATCTAATATGATGTGAATCGATTTTATTTAAATGTATACAGTAGGTCCGAATGTTTTGTGTTTTTTCCCCATTTTTATGAAGCCTTGGATGTTGTGTTTTTACCAATGTATTTGAACCGCTGTTGGCCTAGACGGTCAGACCATTCAGCCTGGGAACCGTCCAAGTAACCAGTTCTATTTTGCCCCAAACCCAATCTTTGGCCAAAAACTGTTAAATTGGTCAACAATTCGTTGATATGAACAGTCGAACCTTCGACCCAGAAACCGTTGGTTAGAACACACTGCAGAGCGTTTTTACGATGTTCTAGGAAAATAACTTTTAACAACGGTTATACATAACTGTTGCTAAACGTAACTTTCCACAGAATGTTTGACGACGTTTAGAATAACGTCGTAAAAATTATTTGTATTCGGTGACGTTTGTCTCAAACGTCATCGAAACATAAAATTTGACGACGTTTACTTATGAACCTATAACGACGTGTAGTGCAAACGACACTAAAAGTATTGATTTTTAGTTTCTTAATTTTTATCATTTCTTAAATTAATTATTTGATATAGAAGTATGTTTATATATTAAGTGATAGTTTTAATTTCTTGAAAATTATTTTTAAGTTTTATAAGTATAACTAATGTTTTGAAGTAGTTAATTATTTATTTTTATTAGTTTATTCCTTAATATTATAAATTTATATTCAAATGTTAAGTATACTCTCATTTTAATTAATATTATTTTGAATATTAAATATTTAAATATGTCCATATTATAATTAGTTATAATTAAAATACTTATACATTAATTGTAGTAGTGATAGATAAATAAATAGGTGGAAAATATGTACATTTGATTGGTTGGTTTTAAAAAAAAAAAGAAAAATAGTAGGTAAAGCAACCCCAATAAGAATTATATATTAATTTAATTAATTAATTAATAATATTTTCTTTTATATTATATTTTTTATTTTATTGATAATTATTAATTAATTAATTAACTAGTTTGTTCATTAGGGTGAGTGTTTAGTTTAGGTATCATGACTAGGCCTATAACTTCAAAAAGTTGAGAAGGGTTGGATCAGGCTAATATTTAAGTTATTCTTTTTTAGCATATTTAAGTTAAAGTTAAAAAGTATGAACCTAACCTAACTTGAAGCTTTCAAGTTGGATTAATGTTATGGTTGAGTGTTCCACAACTCATGTTGGGTTTGATTTACTTATACTTGACATAGCCTAGCCTAACTTGCACTAGGGCTGTCAATGGGTCGAGTACAACTTGATGGATTAAAAATCGATTAGGGTTGGTTTCGGGTCCTAATACATTATCCGAGTCTGATTCAATTACAGGTTTAAAAATTATAAACCCTGTCGAACCTGATTTAGTTATAGGTCCTTAAAAATTATTGTTGAGTTGATTTCATTCCAACTAGACCCGACCCAGACCCAACCCATTGACAGCCCTAACTTGCACCCCCTAATCATGATCTAGTAGGGTGTGCCAATAAAAAATTTATTGAAAAAATACTCATGCAAAAATTATTGAATAATAATGAAAAAACATAAAAAATTAATTAAAGATATGAAAATTTTAAAAAACCTAAAACTTAATTAAAATACTAAAAATAATAAAAAATAAATTAATTATATTTTATTGCAAAAAAAACTAAATAACAATGAGTGGGGAACCCATCCCAGTCAAGGATTAGGGATGGAGGACAAATTTTATCCCCGATGGGGATCACAGATAGGATGGGGTTAATTTCAGTATTGAGGTTAGGAATAGAGAATATGATTCCCACTACAACAAATTCAACATATATCAGCGGATTTCTTAGCAGCACAACAAACACTAAGAAATCCGTTGCTATACGTCTTTTTTTAAGTGGTGATTAATAAAAATCGCTGCTATAGGAACCAATGTTTTAAAAAACAACCCAGAAACGGAATTGTTTTGGCCATCGATTTCCAGGTCAATGATTTGATTGTCTGGTCCGAATGGACAACTTGTTTATGGCAAACAAATTAAAAAAATAAAAAGTAATTAAAAATTTAAAAAATGGTCACAAACCGTTGAATGGGTTGACGATTCGACCGCTCGGCTCAACGATTTGTTGACTTTTTCAACGTTTTTGACCAAAAGCGGGTTTTAGGTAAAACAGAACCGGTTGCTTGGACAATTCGAAAACCTTGGTAGGAACAATTAAAGCATGGTTTTTAAAACCGTCCCGGAGACCAAACCAGCCAGGGGTCCGATTATCGGGTTGAACGGTCTGACCGATTGAATCAAATGATCGGCCCGTTCTAAAAAAATAAAAAATTAAAAAAATTTTAAAAAACTTTAAAAATAAAAAACAGTCAAAACTGTTCGAATGGTTCGAACAACCACTTGGGTCAGCGGTTTACTGACCAAAATCAACGGTTTTTGAAGAAATGATGGTTCTGGTCCGACCGTCAGGTCCGGTCCGATTTTGAAAACCATTGAAAACCCAAAACATTCACTCGCACATTGAAAACCCAAAAAGAGAGAGTATTCTCTCCCGCGCAAACAAAACTCCCACAGTCCCACTTCCCTCGTCATCCCTCAGTCTGCATCAGTGAACCTCCCACTTCCAACCATCTCTCCTTAATCTCTTGCGTCTCCTTCCTTCGGCGTCTGAAAAGAAGCGATCAGACTGAACCAGAAATCTGGTGAGGTAAGTCACCGGTTTCTTTGTCTTTTCTCCTTCCCCTTACATCTTCTCTCTTTTTTTCATAGTTGAGTGCTCCTCATTCTCTTCTTCTTCTTCTTCCATACTAACTTTTCTTTATTGTTCGAACAGGGCATCTAGGTTTTCATAGTTCGAACAGGGCGTCTAGGTTTTCATGACAGTTTGAGTAGGGCATCTAGGTTTCATCGCCTGAATAGGGTAAGCAAAGAAAAGCATTATTTCTTTGCATAGCTATTATTTTCTTATGAATAAATCTTCTACTATGTTTGTTAGGGTTCCTATTTGATTTTTATGGAATTTTAATTCCAGTTTAGTTTTCTACCATAAAAATTTCAGTTTAGTGAAATAAATCTATCGATATGCTATTACTTCCAATGATAAACGAAGCGGCCCAGATAGGAGAGGATTTCAGTTTAGTTTTACTTCCATAAAAATTTTAGATTTCAGTTAAGTTTTACTTCCATAAAAATTTGTTGATACCTCTACGTCTCTTCCTCTTACCAAACCTACTAAGTGCCAGATTTCAGATTTTTACACTAGTATTATTTATTATTTACTCTGCACTCTAGATCTGATATAGCAATTGGTTGAGTTAGTTAATTTATTATTTACTCTGTTTTTTTCAGAAATTAGGTTATTCTGGAACTTCACCCTAATAATTTTAAAATTCAGTCCAAAGACGGTACTTAATGGAATTTCTGTTTAAGCTAGGATGCTTCTGTGGTAGGTTTGACTCTTCTATACAAATCATTTAGAGATAACACTATTCAGAGAACCATATTTTTATGAGTAGTAAATCCATTGCCCAAATACCTCCATTCCAAGTTTGTGATGGAATAAATAAGGTGATGTCTAGAAAAGTGATGGTATATTAGAGACCATGTCTCTCACATGATTAATGCTCTCTCTACAATTGGTCAGATAAGAATTCCAGAAGTTTTGGTTGACACGTTCTCTTTTTGATAAGTTCAAGATGCCTAATTGTGGAATGTGGATCATGCAACATGATATATGCAAAGCAGATTTTATAAGGTTCAGGGTGCTCCAGAACCAAGGTCCATGAAACCAGCAAATGGATGAGTGCGTATCCGTTTGGAGTAATATGGACATAGCTTACTTAGGGATAGAGTGATAATGTATTAACCATGAAATGGCTCCCCAAGATCTTGAAAGGTGGTTCAGCTGTTATTGAGTGCTAATTGGATAACCAAAGAAGCATTCCCCTCTAGCCAGCAGATATCTGTATCCATTAGCAAAGTTAGGTTTACTAAAGAGTCAAATATTCAAATATCATAGAAAGTGGAGGTTGAGGAAGACTGCCAAACTATAATTTGCTGGATGTGGAAACAAGATATGATTTCTTGAAGACAGTCACAGTCCTTAGGTACCTTATTGAATGGCCCATTCAACTAGGTACCAAAAAGTGCAAATGGACAAGAAGACTCTCTATCAAGGGCAGGAGTGACAAGGAATTAGCTTGAATGGGGCCGTCCAGTGTCGAGTTGTAATCTGTATTTTTTTTTTCTTTTTTGATGTAATGAGAGCTATATGAGCTTGGATGCTGGTATTGTATTATCTTTGAACCACTTTGTGCAAGCTTTGGCCTGCTGCTTTGTTTTCTTACAGTAAGGCAGTTCTAAGGAGAGGTCATCAACCTTTTTCTTTAAGTATTAAAGGAATTTCTTAATCTGACAGAAAATGTGGGATGTACTTCTTCCTCCTTGATCAATTGACTGGGATAAAAAGCCATCTCCCAGTATTGGTCACAGCTTCTAGGGTCTTGGGAGTGGTGTCCCAGATATGGACCTAACTCTGGCAGTTTTTGGCATGAAGTGGCCACTCTCAGACTTTAGTTCATGTTCTCACACTTATCAGCTGAAGATTTGACCATCATACTAAGGAACATCCCTTACCAACTGTCTTAGATGACACAAATTTATTCATCCAACACTTGAATTTAAAACTGAATAGGCAGCTTTCGCTAGCAAGATCTAATGACCCAGGGTGACAAACCTGAGATTATGGACTCTAAATCCAACACATGTTCTTTGGATGCATTGTTCTATTATATTGCATGTATAAGTGATTAATCACACTACTTGTTAGTATTTTAATGTGAAGAGTCCTTAGGTCCAATGCATGCAAAATCCATTTTCATAACAGTTTTGGGCACTTTTGTAATGCTGTCTTGGGTCAGCTTATATGCTGATTTCTTTGTAACTTCTTGTTGTATATTAAAACTTCTTAATTAATGAAATTTTCAGAGTTATTGCACTCCTACCTGATATAAATACTTTTTGTTTCAATTGCTTTTGAAAATAAGAAAAAAAAAAGAATAGGAGGAAATGGGAAGAGATCATAGGCTTGAGTATGTGAGTTACAAGTTGGTTGATGGGAATTTAAATCTAGCCAACTAGTAGATGTTTAAAATAGCATAGAAGTAAAAGAAAATCTAGTAAATGTTTCTTACAGTAATGAATCATCTTTGTTGTTTACATGCTCTTTTTTATTGTTTATAAATATAATTAATCCATATCTGCTAACTATTTTAATCTTTGGTGTGATTACAGATGGACAGTGAGGATCACATAGATCCAGAACTCCCCAACAATGACCATACTGTAGAGGAGGTTGGAGGTTCATCCTCCCAAGCCCTTGGGCCCTCCCGTAGAAAAAGGGGGTCAGGGAAGCGTGGCAACACAGTGTTGCCACATGTCCTATAGAGGAAGACTCCAACCGTGGAGCTTGATCATTATGATCGGCCTGTTGGGGAAGTGAGGCCAGAATTGATGTTGTATATAGGTATGTTAGCGAGGGATTGTTCTATAATCCCAATCTGCACCACCGACTGGAGGACAATAACCGATGAGGCAAAAAACAGAATTTATGACGCTGTTAAAGTAAGATCCACATTGTTTTTGTTAGTTGATTATTGCCTTGTTTTTTTGATGAATTTGATTATTGCCTTGTATTAATTATTAATGCCTAAAATTTTTCTTCTTTCATCTTTGGTAGGAAAAAATTATTTTCCCAAATGAGATGGAGAAAACAGATATCCTTGCTGCAGCTGGAAAGATGCATCTGCTTTCGATGTCATGTAAAGAAGAAATATTTTGACAAATATGCTCCTGATCGTGAGAAAGCATTCTCGGAGGCACTTCAACATGAGAGAAATATTGATCGCGGTGATCTTCAATGCCTCTTTAACCATTGGGAAACACCAGAGAGCAAGGTATAAATTGAAAATAATATTGGCAAGTCTTTTTAGGATATGGTGATTATAAATTTTTTTGATTAATATCACTAAATTGTCTTTGTTATAGGCAAAGTGTGAAATTATGACTGAAGTGAGGTCACATAATACGGTCCCTCACCACATGGGCTGGAAATCCTATGCTGCTCACCTCCATGAAATGGTGAGTAAACTAATGCATTTATACCTTTGATTCTTTTGTTAGTTTATATATTGACTCTCAATGGTTTGTTGTAGACGGAAGAAAGAAGGCAAAACAATATGCCCCCACCCAGGAGAGAGGACCTATTCAAGAAGGCCTATACAAATTCTCAGGGGGAGTTTTATGACCCTCGAGCGAGGGAACTTGCTGTAACTATTTTTTTTTATCCATTTAATTATTATTTGTGGTTATGTGATGCTCCATTTTAAATAAATATATTATTTGAAATTGTTGTAGGCCAAGATGAAAGCATATGTGGATGAACAAGCAGAACAGGGCACCCAAGTTGAGCCCATTGGTGCCAATAATGCAGTGGCGGTGATTTTGGGTAAAGATCATCCATCGTGCGCTTGTTGCTTGTGCTTTGGGGTGAACCCAAAGCATGCGTTCGGAACTAATGGGTCCAAAAGTACCACCAGTAGTACATACACTTCGGGTGATTCAGAGTTTTGGAAAGAAAACCAAATGCTTCGAGGAGAGGTGGGTGATCTTCAAGCAAAAGTAGCACGATTGGAGTCCGTGGTGGAGCAGTTAGCGCACCGTCAAGGATTGGATGCCTTGTTTCCCACTCCCGCTTCGGTTCAGGTAAAATCTTGAAAATTGATCCCTCTACTATGGTTAAGTAGTTGATAAGAGTGCACCTTGATGAGTATGATTGGTGAAACTAATTCCTAAACTATAAAAACCCCAAACCTAGAAAACTTAGAAACTAATTCCTGAAACCCCAAACCTAGAAACTAATTCCTGAAACCCCAAACCTAGAAACTAATTCCTGAACTATAAAAACCCCATTCAACACCATACTATTGAATATGAAAACTTTGGTTGTTCATATCCAACAGCCTGGGCTGTCAACAGGGCTAGTCTAGTCTGACCTGGGAATCTTTCACGTGACATTCCATTAGGGCTCCATGTCTACCCCTCCCTCTGAAAGAAAAAAAAAAAAGAGTTGAACTCATGTAGGTCTGCTTTATTATTGTTTAATAGTTTTCTTTTCTTTTTTTTTCCTATACACTAGAAGGGTATTTTCTTTTTTCTTTTTAATTTTCTGATGAAAAAAAAAACAACTGTTGGCTTCCCTTTTGAAGGATGGATGCCCAGAAGAAAGAATAATCTAGTTTAAGAGGTTTCTACCTTATAATTGTGGTTTACCTAACTCAGAAAGTCATGCCACAAGGGTCAAAGTCCTGTTTTCTAACAATCAGATATTGAGGAGCTATATTTTAAAATGCAAGGTATACAAGCCGAATTCTGCAGGTTAAACCATATAAAAACTTTTGACGACGTTTAATTAAATGTCACCAAAAGCAAAGATTCACAATTCAGACAAATGTCACCAAAAGTGGGTTTTGGCGATGTTTTCTTAACGTCACCAAATATATCACTTTTGGTGACGTTTAATGTATCACTTTTGGTGACCTTTATAAACGTTGTGAAACCTCGTTGCTTGCATCGTGAAAACATTTGATTCGTGACATTTGTCAAACATCGTTGATTGTTTGAGAAACGTCATGGAAAGTTTCCGCAACACTAAAGATCGTGACGTTTGCACATATGTCGTCGAAAACTTATCACGACGTTTGGGTAGCTTTCGATGACATTTAGGTAACGTTGCCAAAACCCTGTTTTTTTGTAGTGACGGTTCCAGTTCTGGGTAAGATTTTAAAACATTAAATTTTACTAGTCATTGGTAAAATTTTTTAATATATTTTGTTCGTTTTTGGGTAATGAGTATTACATATTAAAAAAAAAAATACAATACAAATACCTGAAGAGAGCAGGGTACTGTGTGTGAGGTCTTACCATGAAGAGCGCCTTCACATTTGGTGAGACTCTTAGCGACCATCTTAATATATTGTCTATAATATACAATATCAAAGTCATTTTTAATTTATAAATATTATTTAATATCTTATTGAAATCTGAGTTTAATTCGAATCCAACATAAATCCAACAGATATGATTTGATTTAAATCTGAAGATAAAAAAAAAAAATCAAGTTTAGATCCCCATGGATGTAGCTCATTAGCGGATTCCATGAAATATCTACTACTTTCATAACAGTAACTGAATTGAAAAGTTTATTATTAAAGGAATAAAATTTGAGGAATGTGGGCACTTTAATGGATGAAGCTAGCTGAAGTTGGGAAAATAACTATACCCTTAAATATGTTATTATTCTTTTACACACACAAAACGTCTATTATTATTTAATTACTTTATCCACTAAAAGACAAAGCAATAAATAGTTAATTCAGTAACTTCAGCCATGAACAAAGAATTGAAGTTGTAGTAAGTACTCTCAGAAACATGACTGAGCGACTATGAGATAACTTCAGCCATAGGCGTCAATGAAATGATTTATACAATGAATTTCATCCTTCCACATGACGGGCAGTTTTACATTTATTCGGCTGACCACCTAGCTGTATATTGAGAGTATTATGATATAAAGTACAAGATATGTTCCCAATGTGTAACTGAATAAACGTGACCAATAATGTGGTGTGGTGATATCAACATATCCAAACTCACATTTAGTGGTGTATTAGATGTATCGTATCGTTCTGATAGAATTCCACAACACTAAATAACAGGTATATTTGATCACTTTCAGGGGTTGTCAGGCCTAAGACCGACCCCTGTAAAGTCTTGGAAAAAAAAGGGAATGTGCCTTTGAAACATCCGATACGCAAGTTTGTATGTATTCAGATGTCTCGTTACTTTGAACCTTGGCTCATGTCCAATATATTCTTCAATATTGCACAGCATAGAGTTCAGATTAGTTTTATAATTCTTAGATCACCGTGAAAATGAAAAATGAAATTCTTGATCACACGCGGTCTCATCAGATCTCAAATCCATGCGTAAGGTTGCAACTTGGGCTGGGTCGGACAATTGCCAAATTATCAATGGGCTTGAGCTTGATGAAGTTGACATTGTTCAAATCGGAGAGCCAAACTTGCTCCACTAATTCTACGCAGCTCAAATGACAAGACTCTGAGGAATTTCAAATCCACTAAAAACAATAGAAATGGTAATTCTCCGTGCATAAAAAATTGCTTAGAAAACATGGGAATCCATTAGCCTATGCTTGGTTTGAAGGAAAAAGTAGGGAAAGTAAGGGAAAGATAGGAAAACCTTTACAAATCTTGTATAGCCTAAGAGAAACTGCTACAGTAACAAATAGTAAAATAATTAAATAAAGCTCCAAATCCTACCACTAAGAAAAATTAAGAAAGAGAATTTGCCTTTGCCGGGCTAAACCCAAGCACCATGGTGAAAACCTACTGTTTGATTCTGAGATATTGAGAATTCAGAAGTAAGTCACCTCAGAAATCAGAATTGTTATTCTAATCTGAGGAAGAAGCAACATACTTCTGGAGTAGTATGGAAAATGTGGGCTTTTGATGGGCCCACCAAATGGCAAAAATCATAGTGCTGTTGATCCCCTAAACAAGTAATACTTCAGGCTGTGTTTGATTTTATAGAAAACAAGGTTTATAAAATCGAATTGGACAATGAATCTATCAGGGTTTGGTTCTTGGGTCAAACGGTCTGACTATTCGAATTGAATGGATGGCCCATTCTGATAAAAAATAAAAAAATTTAAAAATAAAAAATGGTCAAAACCATTGGGTGGTTTGAACAGTTTGATTGCCTGGGTCAATGATTTGTTGATCAAATCAATAAGTTTTTGGCAAAATAATGGTTCTAAGGTAAAACAAAACTGATCACCTGATCGATTCTCAGTTTTTCCGGTCTAGTTTTGAAAACCATGATAGAAAATATGAAAGAAACATAAAGTTGAGGAAAGGTTCTAAAGAAATTGTACAAAATTTGTTAAAAAATTTCCCTCAAACTTTTGTTGCACAGCTACAGTTTTGCACTTGCACATTCCATTCAGTCTGTAACAGGTGTCATTTTAAGGCCTTGTTTGCTTTTTGGTAAGTTATTTACCCAGGTAAATGCAATTACCTGGGTAAGTGCATTTACCCATGTTCTTTTATTTCTCATGTAAATAAGGCAATGGTAATTTTAGCCATAAACATCTATTATTAAAAGGGGCATTTTTGTCTCATTCAAGTATTGGCAACTTTCCCCTAAGTGGGAAAATTATTTACCCACCTAGGAGATGGGTACCCAGAAAATTAAACTTTTCCTGATCTTCACATAAATCTTAAAAAAGAAATGAAATTCTCGATCAATAGGAATCAAAATCCCATTGACCAACTTTCCACCTCTCAAAATCACATTATATGGTCTCATATGCATGAGTATTTATATATGTATGATAGGACATTTGTCTCAGATTAATTGAATGGAAGTGCACGACAAGTGCAACAGATCTCCACTCAATTCTTCACCTTTGAGCTCGGTGTGATATATGGACTGAAAGATTTTTAGTCCCACACGTAAACCCTACCATCTTTCTCAGATATCTATATTGCCATGCATTATCCATCACTATTGGCGACTATACATACTGATGGATTCATCAACTGAAATGATGATATCAGCTAATTGTCATTACTCATTAACGTATTTGTTTAATTACTAAAGCATCCTCCACAATGCCTTGTCAAATATTCAAACTAATGAAAAAAAGGCATTTTATATATCTATGTGTATATATATAATAGAAAGAGGAAAGAGGGGAGGTGAGGGGTTTTCTCACCATAAAGCTTACATGTGCCTTCTCTTACTCTTCTTTTTCATACATGCACATGTTTATTTTTAAATGAAATCATTAAAAATATAACAAGGCAAAATTAAACCCCTCATGGGTTTTCATTGTCTCTCCTGAAATCCATCTCTCTCTCTCTCTCTCTCTCTCACACACACACACATACACACCCCTTAATAGTCAATGTTTGTTACACCTCCATCTCCACTAAATCCATATTTTCCCCTTAAATTTCTTTTAATCCCTTTTGGCTCTATCTAATAAAGTAAGGGTGTTAATTAGATCGATGAATTGGATTAAGCTAAGGGCCAACCTTAATATGAACCCTAGCTTTGACACAAGCTAATGTCAAAACTAAATTTGCCCACCAATATATGGGGTGAACCAATTTTTATTCTTATATGAAAGTCCAAAGAAACCATTTCTCCTTTTCGTGGGTTATTAGGTTTTTCTCTATTATTTTATTAATTTAATGTATATTTATTTCATGGATTCTTCTAGTGTAACACTAGAAATCACTTAACATGAGCCTTTAGTTATTTTTCCACTATTTTATATATAAAGAACTATAAATATATAAAAACTTTGATGAATCACTGTTACTTCATTTTTTCCCTTAAAATTACATTTTTAAAAAGCAGCTCATGCATAGCACGGGTAATAAAAAGAGGAGTATGTGGAGGCCAAACGCCTTTCACCACAAGTTTCACACAAGAGTCTCCCTTTTCTTCTTTTTCACACATGAAAAATAAAAAAAAATAGAGAACTTACCATAAATGCCTCCTCATGAAAACCCCCATATGTTTTAATTTTCTCTCATAGAATCTATCATTACTATTCTCTAATAAAATAATTTTTAAATCTCTGTCTCCCTCTTCAATAGTCAATATTTATAATTTTTCACCTCTATTAAATCCCTCATTTCCTCTTATAAAAAAGAAAAGAAAAGTTGTGATAAAAAAACAAAAAAACAGTGTAAATAAAAATAAAAAAGAGTAGTGATAAATAATAAGAATTTTTTCTTTTAACGTCTTTTGTTTTCTCTCCAAAAATTTTGAGAAAGCAAAGAAAGTTAGTGAAGAATAAGAGAAAGAAAAACTAATTTTATTCAAAAAAAAAACTCTTTTATTATATGGTCCAGACCACCAAACTGGAATCGGTGGTATGGTTTGATCTAGACTTAGAAATTGTTTGGTTTCGTTTGCAATTCTTTAATTTGATTTGTTGTTTTAGTTTGGATGATTAATGGAACTGACCTTATTACGGTCTTAAAAATACTTTGTTCTAATCAAATTTGATGCTTATATATCA